CCCCAAAACCCCAAAACCCCAAAACCCCAAAACCCCGAGATCTGGTCATTGAGTAAATTTAGGATATTAATAGTTTATAAGCAAATAGCATTTCAATAATCAATTAAGAGATTTATTGATTGACTTATCAAGTGCTAAGTTTTTATTGAAAAAGTCTTCTACTAGTGTGACAAACATTTGAGTTTTTACAAACTCTTTCAAAAATTCTATTTCATCTTTCTTCTAAGCTTTTAACAGTAAGAGTCGAGACATCTCATTGATGTCTACTTCAACCTAAAAATATTAGCTATGATGTAATTACCTCTCTGTCTTTTCTATGCTATTTATACTATGGTTTGCCGGGTGTGTTTCTAAGTATCTTATTATTAATGCACTCTTATATCTTAGAAAAGATATTTTTGCATGCTTTCTTTTAAATATCGTTTGGAGCTAACACCACACTATTATTGTAGTCTTCAATAGGAGTCAGAGTTTATCTAGTTATCTAGCCTGCCTTTTCTCTGCTTGAGTGATTACTTATTCTAGGATTTTAAACGCCTAGCTTGTAAGGATCGAAGCTATTATGCTGATTTACTATAAATTTGGCGAAATACTCTTCAGTATCCTTTATCAGTTATTTACACCATTTCATCAAATTAGTTCTCTTCTTAGATTCATACGCTAGATCTTCATCATATTCACCCCAATTCACTGTGATAGTTTGCTCGTCTAGGAAAATCCAAGTCTTTGTTTTCATTTCTTCTTCAGACAGCTGTATCATATTGTAATCTTCCCTCGAAATGCCCACTAGAATTGGCTGAGGTGTATCTAAAATATCTATCAAGGGAGATGGCAAAACAGGGATTAAAGCGTAACACCATTGGAATGGCTTGATCAAGGATTTAAATCCTAATACAACTGAAGAAAGAATAGTTAAGTTGTCTGACACAAAAATTAATGATCTCTCTAAAAGAACAGCAGTGAGGATTCTATAGAAGTCTTCAATGAAAAATAAAGAAAAAATAGTAGGACAGAACCACATGCAGTCAAGCTTCTGGAATTCGTCTATTGATTAGGGGAAAGTATATTTGATATCGCCAAGATTGTTTTTTATCTCTAAGCAGATCTGTTTTTATTGAGGGATTTCTTTAGATATATCTTCCATTTGGTAGTACTACAATAAGATATTCTCAATTTCATCAGTAACTAACTGTAATAATATAAATGAAAAATATGTTTCTTACAGGAACTCTTAAAGATGACTCGATCTCTCGCATAATTGACATCTATCCAGATTCATAAAAGTCTGATGGCTGCTTGAATCTCTCTAATTTGATACTCTAGAGCAAACCACTGAGCACTTCTAAATGAAGGGGGAAGTAATAGTTGCTAAACATAAAGCAATAGGATTTTTTAACAAGAAACAATTAACCATCGCTTTTTCTTCTCATTAGTTCATCAAAGATGACACACATACAATTCATATAATTATCTCCTGCTTCTCCTACTTCTTCATTTGCATCTAGTGTAAATATATGAGTATTTTCCCTATAATTCTTTTATCTATAGAGAATGTCTTGAATGATCTCAGATACCTCTGGATTACTTTAGAATTCATCCTTCTCATTGTAGTCTAATTTAAAAACTGATACTCCATTAGGAAAACAGAAATCTTTCACTACTCTAGCTCTTTCGCTAAGTACATGATCTTGTTCAATTTGTTAAGGATAGTTATAAAGAGTTTTAGGTACTTAACGGTCATCTTTATTTTCAATCAGATCAAGAGATTCTTAGTCCAGACCTATTATCAGAAATTCTTCAAAGAATTTGGTAGTTTTCAATTTTTACTTCTGATAATTTTGATGACTCTCTAACTAATCAAGTAGAGATAAATCCTCAATATTATTAAGCGATGGCCTCTTTTTGGTTTAGAAAAGTAGGCTTTGGAGATTGGGAGTACTTTGAAACATATCAGTGAATGATTACGTAATGTTCATAGATTTAGCTACAAACTATTAGTTTTTAGAATTATCTTTAGCCTTAATTTCTGGTTCTTCTTCGAAGTAAACTTTATGATTATGATGTGTTGCTGGGGTTTAGAAGTCTCTACTTTTGATTACAGAAATAGGTCTTGATTGATAAATATTTAGCTTATCATCGAAGCCTGTATGTTCATCTTCTAATTATTCATCTGCATAGGACTTAAATCTCTCCAAATCGATGTGCTAAATGTTCTTGCCAAAAATCTGCTTGACGCTCTTCTTCATATTTGATGGCCTTAGCATGAAAACAATGGATTTATTAAGCTCTTCCATTTGCATTTCGCTGTCTACATGATAATGAATTATAAATGGTATTACAATCAGGGTTATATTTAGTTGGTTCTTTATTAATTCTGTAGGTATCTTAGAGATTGCTATCTCTGTATACTTGCACTGTCTTTGTTCTACTTACTCTTATCTCAGCATTTTGCAAATTCCTATTGAAAATCTAGACCATTGAGCTGCTAGAAATATCCTCATTAGTATGCATAATATTTATTTCTGGGCTTTACTTCATTTAATCTTAGGGATTTAACTGATCTACCACTATCAATTGGCTCTACTATATATTAGAGGAGTAATTATCTTACCCTTGAACCTGAAACTGGCTTCTCATCTTGTATCTCACTCGAGTTTACCTTTTCATCATACTGGTTAATTGATTAATCAGCAGAATCATTTGTTTTTCTCATGATAGTAGTCTGATTCGATAGATCACTTCTCTTTGAAAGAAATGATGTATGATTTACGAAATTAGCTGAAATGTCTTGATTTTCTTAAGTCTCTTCAGTTTTATAATCATCTTCATCATTAATTTCAACATCTATATGTATTTATTGATAAAAATAATTTACCCTGATTATATTAGTCGTCATCTATGCTATCTTCACCATGATGTCTAGTGAATTTCTTAGGTTTATTTTATTATCTAGCGCTTCTCTAGCTTGATCCTTTTATCATAATATTTTAGTCGCTTCCGTTATTTAGTGAACTCAGGAGATTGTCTTCTTCATCCTCTTCAATGATTGGTTTCATTTGGGATTCATCATCTTACCCATTAATACGATTAGATACTATGTTTTCATTTGGATTCCCATTTGCACTGCTTGAAAATCTTACATCATACATAGTCAAGCTTTAGTCTGAGTCAAATTAATTATATGATAGCTATTTTTTAGGTTTCTTGATATTCAAAGGAGTATTTCCCTCAGATTCAATGTTTTCTTAAATATTATCATTATCTGACAGTTCAACTGGCAATTTTTAAATCTTGTCTATTCTGCTTTACCTTTATGGTGTAGTAGTACTGCTATTATTATTGTTATGAACTTTTGTTTTCTTCATATATTATTTTTACTATAATGACTGAACGTAATAATTTTAATCCTTCCTCATTATCAAGTCTTCAATGATATCATTTTGCATTTAGTAGAGTTAGTCTTGCTATTAGCTGTTTACAAGCTGTCCATCATCAATGGAGAAATTTTAAGATTTACTGATTTATAGTTCATAGTAATTGGAAGTTAAAATTTCTCTGAGTCTTCTACGTTTCATTATTTCCTCAATAGGAATTTTAGACTATTAAATCATATAGGTTGTATTAAATTAGGCTTGGCTATAGTTAATAACTTTGGTATCATTAATAACACTATTTGGCTCCATTTCTAAGTCATCTTGGATAAATATTTCCTATTTTTTCCCACTGTTATGGTTTATTTTACGGAGATTATTAATAGGGGAGTTGTTTTAAGTTGAGTCTTTGACGTTTTCTAGGGACTGAAGGGATTAATTGTAATCTATAAAGTTTGGCTCTAAGCCAAATGAGTTTGAAGAATCTCTCGAATAGTCTCTGAATAAATTCAGATGATTATAATCACCTTGACCTACGAAAGTTTGGAAATCAGGTCTTATTTCAATTAATTCATCATCGTCCTCTTCATTGAGTTATCTATTGAGATTTAGCTTTTGAGTCTAAGTCAAGCCATTTATCTCATTTCCATCTGTTGATTGATAGAATATTTGGGTGTTTTCTTGAGTATCTGGAGTCAGCCTTAGGTTGTTATTTTGATTTCCACTTACATTTGATAGATCTGAAACTCTAAGCATTCTTTGAAATGCAGGAGAAATCGAGGCAGTCAACGGACTCATAGCAACTTTAATAAGGTTAAAATAAGTATGGATTTAAATTACTTTGTGAGTGTCAACTCTAGGGAAGTTAATTTTGGAAGTAAATTGGCGCTTAATTAATCATTGGAGTCATTTAAGACTTCCTTTCCTACGGAACACTTAAGTAAGATTAGCTCATTAGAGTATTTTGAAGGAGCTGCATTTGATTTGTATTATTCATGACATTAAATGCATTTTAATTCATTTGGATTACTGATTGCTGCTGTTGATTCATAACCACTTGCTAGAGCTCTTTTATTTTTTCATCCTGCAGCTGTAATTATGCTCTCAATTTCAAGATTTCAAAGTTTGAGTCTTAGGTCTTCCTTTTTTCCTTCTCTAAGTCCTATTTATCTAGTCAAATCACACTATTTTGATTTTACTGAAACAATGATAAGATGCTATCGCTGCTTGGTTTCTAGCATGAGTGCTCGATGTTTCCAAATGCAATCATGATCTTTGCAATTTTCCTGTGAACCTGAACTTCCTCTGGGGTTCTGAATTTTTATGAGGAAATAAAAATATACCTTTACTCTTGTATTAATAGGATCATTGACGTATTTAAATTGACTCAGGCTATTGTCCGATATCATTTTAGATTTTATTAATATTTTCCCTAATTTTTCATTTTTTCTGCTTATGGGGTTTTGGGGTTTTGGGGTTTTGGGG